GAGTTTATTTAGCTGGGCATGGTGGCTCATACCTGTAATCTTAGCGCTTTGGGAGGCTGAGGCAGGAGGATTGCTTAAGGCCTTAGAGTTCAAGACCAGCCTGAGCAACATAGCAACTATCTCTACAAAATATAGAAAAATTAGCCAGGCATGGTGGCACATGCCTGTAGTCCCAGCTACTTGCAAGGCTGAGGCAGGAGGATCACTTGAGCCCAGGAGTTTGAGGTTGCAGTGAGCTATGATGATGCCACTGTGTACTAGCCTGGGCAACAGAGCAAGACCCTGTCTCCAAAAAAAAAAACAAACCAAAAAGAAAAAAGCTACCTGACAACTCTTTTCCATATTCCGTAACACCACAACTCAACTCTAATGTTCATATCCTTAGCATGACGCTTTACTGTTTAAAGATTACTTTCACATCTATATTATATCTTATTTCCCTCCTCCACAACAATGCTATCAGATATTATCTCCATTTTACAAATGATGAAACAAGTTCTGAGAAATTGTATCATTTATTTAAGTCCCAACATGAGGCAGAACCAGCCTTTGAACTTGAGTTTTAGAACCAGAACTTGATTGCTACAATTCAGGGAAAGAGAAGCCACTTTTATTTTCTTAGATGAATTAAAATGATCTTTATATTTTTACAGACCATTGTAAAGTATTATTCTATTTTTATGGCCAGAAAACTAGGTTAATTTTTGCCTCCATCCTTTTATTCTTTTCATTATCATGAGATCTGACAAGAAACTCTTTGATTTCTCAAGCATTCTGGACACAGAGCACTTTCCTCCCCCCTCCCCCCCCGCCAGAATTGAGATAAGGAAATATTTCCACAAGAAGTTCACAGCAATGGACACAGATCAGGGCCTCTCACAGGCTGAGAGAGGTCCCAGTCACCTATGATAGTAGAGACTTTCAATATATTAAGAAAACAAATGCTAAAACTACATTATAAAAGTTATGATAATGGGGGCACTGTGAGAATAGCAGAGTAAGGGCCTCCAAAAATCTCCATAAACTCAAGGTGAATTCTGGCAAAAACCGTAAAAATCCACTTTTTTTGGATCTCCTAAAATTAAAGGCTTGCAAAAATCCAAGGAGTAGTTATTCAAGAAAAACAGCCGGATCTCAGAACAGTGAGTTTTGTAGCGTTTTGCCCTAATCTCATGCCCTTTTCCTCAGGTCCATGATAGCCTTGAAAACCAACAGCCTTGCAACTATAGTAGCTGTGAAAACCAGCAGCCTAGAAGCCAGTGGAAGGATAGAATGGGTTTCAAGTTTGCCAAAAGCTCTATCCCTAGAGAACTGTCACTATTTGCCCTTTCTGGTGGCTCACTTTTAGTTGGGAGTTTTATGATCCCAGAGCTGGCTCTGTGTAAGCAACAGCGTATATCTCCAGGGCATCTGCAGAAAACAATCAGCAATTGTTTAATATTGCACCTGCCTATGGTGGTATCACCAATTGGTGCTAACCAGAGG